AAACTAGATCCTAATCTAGTTAATGAAAAACTATATCAAGTCTTGGAAAAACTTGATTGTGCAGCAAAAATCAAAATTGCCTTGGGATTTGTGTTATGTATTATAGAAACCGGCAAATATCGTTATTTATACGCTCATGAAAATAAAACACTCTTTGATAAATCTTTACTGCTTTGTACTAAAGCAGACTTGACGATTATACAGAACAAGGTCAATAAGCAAGATATCATTGAAGTTTGTACACAAGAGAGACAAAATACGAAATGGCAATTCAAGCTGATCACTCATGTGACCATTTTTGCCGCCCTACTGAAAAACGTACCCATGGGATGTTCCAGATGTCCAGAACCACTTCTGAGGAATAACCATGTTGGATTTCGGATGCGCTCACGCAACATTCATACAATGACAATTTGAGTTTGTTTCGAGCGCTTGCAGTTCATTTACAGGGAACAACTAATCTTGAAACATCCATCTTTTTGATTTTTTAATCTTTTCTTGAAAATTTGAATTGTGATCCGAAAAAAAGTTTCGTGGAGTTTTGATGGATAATCTACCAATAGTTGAAGATGTAGTAGAGAAAAACATCTTTATCTACAATATCGACATTGAAGATGGAGATTTTGTGGGTGAATTAGCTCGGAGAAGTATCGGTAAATACGAGAATACAATTAAACTTCTACGATACAACAACCACATTTTTTTACCTCAATAACATCGACAACTTCTTCAAATGCTTCCTATGCCGAACTTGGGATACATTTTTCAATCTATCTTAAAATTTCAACAAGCATTTTCTACGATGCAAATACCGAAACCTTTACCAAAACCTTTACCCCAAAAATGTTTACACAATACGAGAGACGTTGTCTGGTAAAACTGGATGGTTTCAATATTGAGTACACCAAAGAACAAACCTTATTCAAAAATGTTGCCACTTTTGACTTTGAGTCATATTGCGTGCCATGCGAAGAACTAAAATCGACAGAAAGTATAACATGGATTGGGAAGCATGAACCAATATCAGTGTCAATCTCATCCAATTTGCTTAATAAACCCATATTTTTATGTGACAAAGATCCAAAATTCCTCATTATTGGCTTTGTGGCAAACTTGGACTTGGAAAAAAAAAGCTGAATTGCAATCAAAATTTCTCGAAACTGAAAATAACATCAAAAAGCGGCTACACACGATTCTCAGCATCCTTAATGAACGAAGAAGTTTCAGTAAGAGTCAAGCAAGCGAGTACGAAGGCGATCGTATGGAGGAAGAGGAAGAAACAGATACATCCACTCATTTTCTCAGGATTCAAAACAATCAATTGATTGATTTGATGCAACATTAAGAGAGGTATACCAAAACTCTGCCAGTATTTAGATTCAACAGTGGTCGGTATGATATAAACCTGATTAAATCATACCTCATTCCCTACCTTATCAATGACAAAGAAATTGAACCTTCAGTTATCAAGAAAGCAAACGACTCGGTTTCCTTCAAATTTGGAGATGTTCAGCTTCTAGACATTATGAAGTTTTTGGGTGGAGCTACTACTTTAGACTCTTTTCTGAAGCTCCCAACAAGCTTGATGAACAACAAATAACGTCGTATGATGACTTCTACAGCAAACTGAAGAATAGCAACCCTCTCGATAAAGAGTCTGACGATTATCAGAAAATTCTCAACACTGGATTAACTAAAGAGCAAGCCTTGAAAAAACTCGGGCTCAAAACAAAACCACCTACGGGATTGAAAAAATACAACTACCATAAATCTGTCTGGGAACAGGAAAAGATGACTACGATTTTCTACAGTGGTATAACAACAAGGATGTTGTTTCTACCCTTGAAGCCATGAAGAAATTGATTGAATTTCATCATGACAAAGGGATAGACATTTTAAAGCTCGGCTGCACACTACCTAATTTAGCAAATATCTGTGGTCCCTCAATTGATTTCACAATGAAAGCAGTAGCACACGAAACCTTTATTCGAAAATCAAACAACTTGTGTAAATCAGTCGTTGGTATTGATGCTTGTCAACTCTACCCTTATTCTATGTGTCAGGATATGCCCACAGGTTTGTAAACGAGATGGGACTACAATGAAGAAACACAAAATTTCAAGGCTAGGCAAAATCGAGTTTGAACGTTTGAAAATTTGGTCATGTCATACTTTCAAGCAACCAGACCTGAATGCAAAATTGAGAGTTACTACACTACAGGAATGCAGAAAAAAATTGATTGCTTTAGGGTTGATGGTTATTGCAACCATTGTAAGACTCTCTTTAAAGCAATGGGCCGTTATTTCCTTTTTTGCCCTTGTGAAGAAGGTAGACCGAGCCTAACTGATGATGATATCAAACAAGGAACCAAGAAAAGAGAAATAGATGAGCCTCGAAAAGATTACATTCGAGAGAAAAGATTTCCAATAAAAGAAATATGGGAGTGTAGTTGGTGGGATCAATTTAAAAACAATGTAGACGTAAAAAATCACGTTAGAACTCACTTTTCCTTCAAATCACTAGAACAAAACATTAAAAATTAAACAATGTTTGGGTACGTACAATGCGATCTGAGTGTTCCAGATGAGCTCAAAGCAAAATTTTCCAATTTCCTACCTATTTTCGAAAATATTGATCTTACCAGAAACGATATTGGGGAATATCTGAAAATATAGGCGGAAAAAAACGATTTGTTAAAACAACTGCAACGGATGTTGATATCGAGCTTCAAGTTAACCAGCGGAAAACCTATCACATCACTTTTCAACTTTTACTTGGATCTTGGTCTACAGTGTACAAAAACTCATCGATTCGTACAATACACACCGCGTAAAGTATTCAACAGTTTTGTTCAGTTTGTTGTTGATGCTAGGCGAGCCGGCGATGAAAATCCATTATCTGGCGTAGTAGTCGAAACAATGAATCTTCTATGAAATACTTCCTACGGCTATCAAATAATGGACAGATCAAAACATACAATAAAAAAATATCTTGGAGACAAAAAACCCATAAAGCTATCAATAACCAATTCTTCAAGAGACTTAATATCGTGGCAAAAGATTTGTATGAAGTGGAGCTTGTTAAATCCACTATAGAGCATTGTGAACCAATCACAGTAGGATTCTTTATACTACAGTATGCCAAGTTGAGAATTTTGGAGCTGTATTGTAACTTTTTCGATAAATTTTGTAAATTTTGCGATGTCAACAAATTCGAATATTTCGAAACGGATACAGATTCCCTCTATTTGGCTCTGACAGAAGAAGGTTTAGATGAATGTATCTTTCCCAGCAAGCGAGCAGAATGGACTGAAAAGCGAAGCAAGGACTGTCGAGACGATTTCAGAGCAGATGCGAAAAACAATTTTTTCCCCCGTACTTGTTGCTCTCAACATAAGAAACATGACAATAGAGAACCAGGATTGTTCGAGGAGGAGTTCAGATGCACCGAAATGTTATGCCTGTGCCGTAAAACCTATTGCTGTTATGATAGTAAACGTCAAAAGTATAAATTTAGCAGTAAAGGACTAAACAACCGCATTAGAAGACTCTGGAGATGGCCCGATGGCAAAATATTGACAAGTTTTGGATGAGGCAGTGAATTTGAAGTCAACAAATAGAGGATTTAAAACGATTAACCATTCAGTCGCACCTTATGAACAAACTAAAAAAGGACTGAGCTATTTTTACCCTAAGCAGGAAGTTGAATGGGATGGAATACATACTAAACCTCTAAATTTGTAAAAGCTTATGTAGTAAAATTGTATACGATGCTGTGAATTAATAGGTTTTCTCTGTAATTAATTTTTTTTTCAAAAATTCTTTTTAAACGCTACGTTTGCGTTAACAATATATTGTTTTTCGATTAAGAAAATATTTAGAATCTGCAACATTGGCAAAATCGAGCGCCAAAAAATTCGGGTACCATTTTATCATCTGAAACCTTAGCATCTTAATACATTAGGAATCCTATTCCCTATCATAATGAGTTCTTAATTCCCTACAATGAATTTCTAATACATAGGGAAATCTATACACTATACATGGGAAATTCGGGCGCCAAAAAAACTTAACATCTGAAACTTACCATCTGAAACCTGGTATCTTAATACATTGGGAAATCTATAGCCAATGTTAATACATAGGGTGATGACCGGATACTCTATAGCCTATGTTAATACACCCCCTTCCCCCGGGCTGAATTCATCCAACATATACTACTCTTTCATTTGAAAGCTACTAGAATGATTCAAAGTTTTAGCGATAACTTTCTACGGAACCATTACTGAAATAGCTCTGAAATATCGCGGGTTTAGGTAAGCAAAAAAATTTTGAATTACAAATAAACCAGCGCTGGAAAACAACAATCACTGAGATACTATAGAAAAACGATAATTAACGGAGAGATTTCAACCCGGGTGAGGTTTTTGCAACTTTATTTTGCAAAACTAGAGGATCGAATTTTTCTTCTTTTACGAACAATTAGTTTCATCAACACTTAGACATAAAATTTTCAACAATATCTTTTTTCACGTGGACCCAAAACTAGTTTATTTTTTCAGCTACGCTCTGCTAAACTCTCAAAAATTGGTTTCAAGGAGTTACCAAATTATTATGCGTTTAAAAATGCCAGTTTAAACCATTTGCGGTTCAATGCTCTCACTGAGGACGTTTCAAGTCTTCTGAAGAACTATTTTTCTTAGTTTATTCTGAAGAAAAAGTTCCTTTGCTGGAGAACTAACTTCCGGTGGTTAAAACTGATGGTAATTTTAGACCCAGAAAAATGTGGTAAGTACTTAAAAATGAAAATTGTTTTTTTTATGGTAGCTGAAAAGTTTTTCTTCCTTTTTGCCTAAAAATTATCCAAAAATGGTTTTTAGAAAAAAAAACTTTTTAGAGGGTGAAAAAGTTGATGTTTGTACTCTAGTGCAGTTCTCATTGTAAAGTTTTGAGCTAAAAGTTAATTATCTTCGTGTGTGTCTTCGTATTTCTTAAATGAGCTTATAGCATTTTCCAGTCAGTGCTGCATGCCTCAAACTTATCTGGCTCTGGTTTTGAGACTACCATCACAACTAGAATCAGGAAACACGTTGCAACAAACTCTATAACCAAGCCTTTGGTCCAACTGACACCTGGAGCCAGTCTCGTTGCCCCCAGATTTGTTTGCTCAACCCAATCATCTGGTCCAGTCCAGTAAGCTAGACCAGATGCCGCGATTGATCCTGTTAATAGAGAGCAAATGCGTGTTTACAGCAAAAAAAACTCGCGATACTTCATGGAAAAAACAATTTTTTGGGAACAGTTGAACAAGTTCAAATTCTTTTTATGGAAACATTCAAACATTTCGAAAAGCCTAAACGCCCACTTTTCGCCGTTTTCTTTCTTCACGAAAAGTCTTTCCTGGTTCGGGTTTAAAGTAAAGTGAAGAAAACCTGTTAGTTGAGCTGGTAGATAAAACAGCAATTGTACTATGCTGCAGCGTCTGATTAATAACATGGAAATAGTAACAGCAGGATTAAGATAACATCCAGATACAGGTCCGATTAGTGCCACTAAAATAGCCAACACCCCCCCCAAATGTCAATGCAGGCGAAACCAGACTATCAATTTGCTTCCCTTGTGCATCGTCGCTTGTGTTTTGACTACAAATGACGCTGAGCAGACCGGCAAAAACTAACAGGAATGTTCCGAAGAACTCGTAAATTACTTTTCTCCAGAACTTTGGATCTGTTATTTCTTCTTTTGCTATTTGAAGGCTTGATTTGTCGTTCGAGCCAAAGTATTCCATCCTTGTAATCAAACTGTTGTTTAGTAAACAAGAAATTTACTGATTCAATTTATTTTTTTCACAATCGGTGCAACAAACCAATTGCAGTTTGTTCACGAAAAATTGAATCGTGTGATGAAGTTTCTTAAATGAAATTCCTTTCACGGTAGTTTTTTCTCAAGCAATCAGAAACTCAAGCAAAATAATGTAAACTGCAATTGTCAATAAGTTTAATCATTAAAGGGTTTATTATTTGAACTGTTCAGCGCTAAACTGAGCAACGTTTCAGAAGAAAGTGAAGTTGAAGTTCCGCATTAGAACTGTTTCCCTCTTTTCTGTTGAGCCATGGTTATAATTGATTAAAAGTCAATTGAATTTTTTTCGAAACAAAATTTGACTCAGAGGTAGAAGCGGAGCGATACAACACAAAATAAAATATATAAGCAGTCGAGAAAAATGAGAAACGAACGTCGAAAAAAACTAGGTGATTCAAATTTTTTGTAAGTCTCGATAAAAAATAACTAGGGGCACAGCTAAAGCTGGAGGTACGTGTTTGATTTTTTTTGAATTTGTACTGATGCGGGATGAAATACTGATCCCTACTAAAATAAGTTAAATGAGTAAAATTTTTTGAGATATTTAGAAGATAAAACATTTTTTTTTGCTTTAGCCGCTTCTGCAAGAACGTTGTTGCAACCGTTTTTTTTTGTTTGAACCCTTCATCTCGATTTGATAGGGTAGTTTTGAGAAAAGTCAAAAACTTTTCAAAAACAATCAATTAAAAAAATTGTTTTTCTGAAATTCATTAATTTTTTTCTGCAGAAAATAAGTTGCGGCCGCTGGAGCAGAGAGGATTCCCAAAATCGAATTTCTCTATTGAACACTAAACCTAAGAATTGGCAGATTGGTTTCCAGAAAAATCAGAAAAATTCCAAAAACGGTCAAGTTTGAAAACTTTGAATTTTTTGAAGGCTATAACTTTTTCTAAAAAAAACTGTGCGTAGCCAGTTCTTTAAGTTTGCTTCAAAAATTCTAATATTTTGGTTAAACCCTTGATATCAGATTTTGCAGGATTTTATTTGAGAACAGTAAAAAAAAATTCCAAAAAACTGTCAAAAAAAATGACTTTCTCGAGAATCATTTCTTTATGTGTAAAACATTTAAGCGTAGCCGCTAATGCAGAAGAGATTCACTCAACCCACTCAACCTGTCATTTTCGTTGAAACCAAAAACCCAGATTTGGGATTGTAGGCATTGAGAAAAACCGAAAAATTTCCAAGAAACCGTCCACAAATGAAAATTTTGACATTTTCGAGAATCATAATTTTTTTGTATGTAAAACTCGGAGCAGCAGTTTATGCACAAAACGTTCACTCAACCTGTGATTTCCGTTGAACCTATCAACCCAAATTTGGGATGCTAGTTTTTGAGAAAAATCAAAAGTTTGAAAAAACGGTATAAAGCCGCAAGTATTATTTTTCCGAGTGTCAAAACTTATCGTGTAAGAAAATTTGAGCGTGGTAGCTTATGCTAAGAAATTTTTCACAACTCTTTGTTTTGGATTGAAACTATAATTTTAGACTGGGGAGTCCCCCTGAAACTACAATGAACAAAATTTGCAGCTGCTATGTTACTTCCTTACAACACAAGAAAAATCCGTGATGTGCCACCTGAGCCAACAAAGATTGAGCAGACAATTGAAAGCACAAATTAATTTTTAATGTTTTTTTTTCAGTTTCAGACATACTGTTAAAAAAAGGTCCTATTGGGACTCGAACCGCAGACTTTAGGGTCCAGAAGAAACTGCGTTTCATCCAGGCAACAAATTAAGGAACCTGGAAGTCGTTCCAGGTTCAGAAATATAGAGAAAGAGAAAAAATGTTCACTGGAAAAAACGATTGCTCCCGATCACAAGACACTTGCTCTCGCATGTCTAAAAATAACTTAAAAAACAGTTAATCATTTAGTTTGAAAAATGTAGCCTTTTTTTAAAAAAAAATTATAAACTATTTAAAATATTAACATTATAAACCATATTCAAAAGAAAAATTTTGATAAAATAGAGACTGATCATGAAACTTTAATATAACGGATTATTAACCATGAAACTTCAGTGCAGAGTTGAATGAAAGATCTTGACCTTTCTTAACTTCCTGTCTATGATCTTTGAGCTGTATCATTAGAGATAAATCTTGCCATGTAGTCATTTACTTTGCTCTGTTATTAGCTCAGAGAGCTTTGTGTACAAGAGCAGTGTTTACTTATTTTAAACCATCAAAACATATATATTTATATTCTTTGACCTTAGTTTGCGGGGTTGAATAAAAGGTCTAATTTGACCTTGCCTACCTTCAAGTCTCTGACTTTTTGAGCCGCATCATTGGAGAAAAATCTTGCCAAATAATTATTTATTGTCCTCTTTTGATAGCTCAGAGAGCTTTTGTGTTCAAGAGCAGTATTTATTTATTTTAAACCATCAAAACCTATATATTTACATTCTTTGACCTTAGTTTGCGGGGTTGAATGAAAGGTCTAACTTGACCTTGCCTACCTTCAAGCCCCTGATTTTTTGAGCCGAATCATTAGAGAAAAACCTTGCCAAGTAATTATTTAATGTCTTCTTTTGATAGCTCAAAAAGCGTTGTGTATATGAGCCGTGATTACATATTTTAAACCCTCACAATAAGTATATTTAGAGATTTTGACTTTTATTCACGGGATTAAATGAAAGGTCGAATCTGATCTTGCCTAAGTTCCTATATCTGACATTTTTAGTTGAATAATTAGAAACAAATTTAACAATGTATTAATCTATGCTGCTCTTTTGTTAGCTCAGAGAGCTTTGTGTACATGAGTAGTGATTACATGCTTTAAATGTAGAACATAAGCAAAGATTTTTTTGACATTTATAAGTTTTTGCTCCGGTATATTCGTGGGCTCCACAGTGTTCTCATGCCAAAATGTTAACCAAAAACGAATCTATCTAAACTGCTCGTGTTGTATTTGGATTTTAAAAGTATAGCGCGCATGATTTACGCGAGGCAATTTATACGGCATACAATTCGTTCCAAATTGATTTCAGGCAAGCTATTTGGTCATAATGGTTCCGTTCCATACTTGACTCAAAATTTGATATTATCAGCCTAACGTTCATAGTTTTTCATTATTCCATTATGCAAAAGCTATTGCAGACCAGTTATTGGGCAGTCGCAACTTTCAGGACTTTGCCCTGATACGAGCAGTCTTGTTTTAATATCTTATCAATGAAACTATTTCCTCGGTCAAACACAGTCGGATTCTTTTTTCTCAATTAATATTTTTTTCAATCGAAACGTTTTCTTCTTTCATACTCGGTCAAAACGTTTGTCCTTGGTTGAACAAAATGACAACATACATAAATTGGTCAAAATGATTTAAAAATGTCAAGCCTGGGTCGATATGGTCAAAACATACCAACTTTTGTTCGACTCTGTCGTATCATAAATCGCAAATCTTGATCATGTCTGTCCAGGTTAACCTTCTTTTGGTCAAATCAGTCGGTGTTAATGTTTTTTTGGTTGCGTTGGTTTTGGTCAAATTTCCTTGAGTCCTGCAGTTTGGTCTTCAATTTCTAAAAATACTGAATATCGGTCGCGCAGCGGTCTGAAAAGGCGCAATTTTTGTCGTAACATATTTTAAATTATCCTATGTTTTCTTTAATTTTGACTCAAATTGTGTCACCAAAACAATGCAAACGCTAGTCATGCAAACGCTAGTTAGTTTGATCCATATAACAGTTCGATTTTCTCATTTTTAAACCAAATCTAGTCGTTACAAAGGGTCAATTTTAGTCTTCAGGCCACTATCCTTCCGAAACAATGTGGGGTGCAGTTATACGTTTTTGGTACATTTTGACAACCTGACCTTGTACCAATTACGTAAGAGTTAGTAGGAGCTCTGAAAAAGTTTCTAAAACAAGCTGTAAACAGTATATAAAACGACAGACAATTAATTTTATCTCTCTCCTCTCACTTTCTCTCTCTTTTTTTCTCTCTTAAACAGGCAAAGAATCATTATTTGCGCGTTTTAATCAGATGATTCTATAGCACTGCGTCTAACTAAAAAACCAACAGCAACCGGTGTCTGTTCAAATTTCGTAAAATTTTCAGACCGGTAAACTACAAAACAATAATTAAAAAAAGAGAAAAAATTGATGGAGCTCTTCAAAAGTGTTTCTTTTTTCGGACGAGCATCCAATACGGATTAAAATTAAGACTTACATTAGTTAAAAATCACTTTAACTTTTTTTAATGTCGGAGAAACAAATCAGTAGCTCAAAAAACTAAAAACTAAAAGCACTCTTAAGCTATCCCCGCTGAATGTCATTCCGAAAATCATATATTTTCAGAACAAATTTTCTCGACACCGAGACAGCTTTTGATAAAATCATCTCAAATCTTAATCAATTTCGGCTCAAATTGTTTCACCAAAAACAACGCAAAAGCTACCGCCTAAGTTTTAGATCAAATAAATTTAGAGACTCGTTTGTTTTGATCCAGTTCGAATCACAGTGCAATTCACTCAGTTTCTTAGGCAAACTTAGTCGTTACAAATGGTCAATTTTGGTTTTCAGGTTGCTATTATTTCTAAGCAATGTGGGCTGCTGCCAATTTTTAATGGTACGTTTTGAAAACTGTTTTTGTACCATTTACATTTACCTGACCGATTTATGGTTCAAGCTTTGGATATACCCACTAAATCAAGCAGGAGAAAGTATACCAAAGTCAAATGCCTGATAAATTGATTACATAATGAGATATATATA